ATATATATACAGCTAGTATCGGTTCATGTACAAAGCGTACAAGATCTCAATTCTCACTGAGCAACCTACGTACGTACTACGCACCGCACCACCCGTTAACTGTATGCTTGAGACATCTGAAGCTACGACCCGAGTGGCTTGGTGGGGGTTGTAAATTTCTAGGTAAGGTGTCCGACTCATGATACTGGCCCTGACCATACAGCCTGCATGGGATTGTGTGTAGGGTTTTGGGCATTGCAGATACCTATATGCCCCTTTCAAGTGTATCCCACTGGTAATTAAACCACGGAACACATATTTGGCTGCGGTAAGAACGATCCCACCGTACTAGCGAGCATTGCATTGGTAAACGGATCGTCATGAGCATGTTGCGGCTGCGATGATTGCCTGCGCTGTGCATCTGTCCCCACTTAAGTTGCGCGCATCCACGTCACATTCGAACACTTTGCCAAAGCTCTGCCGCACTGGCGATAGAACATCCTCCACGGACACTGGAATAGTGTGGACATATGAAGCGAAAGTCTTTTGTTAGCTTGAAACCAAGTATAAATATGTAGATATCAAGGCCTGGGTCGTACTAATAAGTTATTACTAGGCATGTATAGCGCCTCATATGCCAACGAAAACGCGCTCATATGTCTACTCATGGTAAAGTGATGCAACGGCATACGGATTCAAATAAGACATGCGGCAAAGCAGCTTATTGGCCTAGACATAAGACCTAGACCTAGACCTAGATAGATAGATAGATAAATAGATAGATAGATAGATGTATATTCATCAATACATATCTAATGATAATGATGATAGTTGAGACTAATTTGATCAACACATCACGTCTTAATTCCATACAAGCGTACATATACATGCTGGCAAAGGGCAAATACCTACCATCTTTGCCTGTTTCGAGAGACAACGATGTCACGCCTTTATCGTCTATGCCACAAGGTACGATATGGTTGTACCAGTCCATGTTGACATTACAGTTCAAAGCGAAGCCGTGCTGTGTAATCCATCTAGATACAGACACACCTAAAAGTGGCAGATGTATGACAGTATGAGTATTACAATGGGGTGCGTATGGGATGTACCCACAAATCACAATATTTCCTTCCAGTAGCTTTAAAGATGACTATCACGCATGTTCTGATCATTCCAATATGCGCGCGTCTACATGCTGTTGAAAGCGCTGCGCAATGCTCACTGCATACTCACAAACAAATGCAATGATACCGGCTACCTCCAGTTATGCACGCGTACCCCTATCTCCTTGAGAATATGTAATCGCAACAAACAAATGAAATCTTAACAGCCAACCCAAGCGTAAACAATAACAACAGACGTGCCCAGCACATTCCCAGCAAGCGACATACTTACCGAGAGCGGCAATTTTCCGGTCCCCCACCCACACGCCGGTGTGCTCTGTCCTCGCACTCTCCACGTCGTAGGCTTTGCAAGACTGTATCATCACCTCCTCGAGCCTGTCGACGTAGTCTCGCACACTTTTCTGTGAAGAAACATGGGTAACGAACTAGTAAGATTCGTGTATGGTAATATATATCCATCCACAAATGGGGCCCAACTACCACTTCTATTGGTATTCTACGTAGACCGTGATATACTGTATACAACGGTAATTCTTACAAAGTGGACAATAGGATTGATTGCTACTCACACCACCCATACGCGGGTGCAACAGGTACTTGTCTGCTTGCAGACGTGATGTATCGGACTTCCAAGAGTTAGTGAACGCGTACAGATAAAATGCACAGGCACCCTGCAGAGCTGTAGCCACACCGTCTGCTATGCTGCAGTACATCTGCATACTGGGTAGCACTCTGTGAGCTGTCTTACTTTATAGTTGCCAAGATTCAAGACCGGATATCCCACGAGTTGTCCAGGCCCGTGAAACGTTATCTGGCCACCCCGTCCTATCTGTAGACAGTAGGAATGGTCAAACAATGTGAGCACGCGGTCGTGTAAGTTCTATCACTTATGTAGTCCGACAATATAGACGGTGTGGAGTCCAAACAATATGTTCGCTGGTCGTAGGTCTCTTGATGTGCACTGTGTTTCAGAGTTCTCACGCAAATTCGGAAAGCGCTTTGATTTGGATACGTATAGTCCAGATATTAAACCGCTGATGCGTGCTAGCGACTTATAAACTGTGATGTAACATAGGGATAAGTGCTAATGAGAGATACACAACAGGTCGCCAATAGACTCAACATATAAGAACAAAGCGTACGAAACACTTACGTCCATAAGCAGATAGTTTATCCGTTCTAAGCACGGAAATAAACACACACGTGCGAATTAATCTGGAAAAGAATCTCTAATGGTTTCTGGACCTTTCTCGCGGGTACACTTTGGATGCAGACTCCTTCACGTGTATATCATATCAAAAGCTGAAGCACGTATGCTATTTCTACTATGTCCAGGTAACGCACCTAATAATCAATAACTCTGTACACAAATTATAGTACGAGTCTCATCCTCTATCAGTGGCCAAACCAATGTCTAACGTATGTTTTTCCCTGATGAATTACAAAGCAAGTAGTCACATTCTGTTGAATTGGCGGAATCTGCACATGTTCATATGCATAGTCTTATACACTGAAACATGAGCAAAGCTCCAAGATATTGAAATGCCCCACTTGCATCTAAGAAATGCCCCACTTGCATCTAAATAGGTATGGAGTACAGGTGTTTATACCCTTTTTTCTAGATGCACAATGATATAGATTATAAGAACACATGTACAAGCATGAAGCCACAGATACAATACAAT